CCATCTTTGGCGGCAGACATCTTCGCAGTTGTTCGTTTCGATGCCGCGCCTAAACTGTTGGTCCCTCATGTGGTTCGCCACTTCAAGCCCCGGGGCTTGGGTTCCCGGTTTCCGTCACTGATCACCAGGTTTTCGCGAAGATGGGTTTACTCCGCCTGCTCTCCATCACATTAAGCAGGTTTGTTATTATTGTATTTGATCATTAACCTGAAATAGGCCTATGACCAACACTACGCAACAAGAGAAGGTGATTAAGAGCAGACTAAAGGATGTTTGCTTTCAATTTTTGTCGTTGTCATGGTTTGTTTTACTACCCGGTCGCCGAAGGCAGGGTAGAAAAATATCACTGGAGTCTTTGATAGAAAAGCCGAACTTATTAGCCGATCGATCGGTGCTGGGAGTCCGCGACCCACTAGGGACCAATATTTCTTCAGTCCCGAACTCCTCTGGAAATACTTCCAAACGACAAAATGCCTCAAATAGCTTCTGCTGAAGAAGTTAACACTGAAGTGCGAGGGCAAAAGTGAGTGCCCAGCGCCTTTCAACTGGCACATGGGTGATCTGGGTACCCTGGTTAGTTGGCCATAACTAAATAGTTTATGAACTGGTCAACCAGTCACTGGATACCAGAGGATCGTGGACTCCCTAATCCACCCGCTGCATTGTCGTTTAGGTTCTTTAAACAAAGGCTCCGTGTAGGATCCTCCAAAAAAACCTTTACTTCGACCTGGGCAACCGCTTAGTATCTCGCCCACAATTTAGCCATGGACTTATGCATTCATACATGTCTTAGACTCTCACACTTATGCAAAACTCTTCTCAAAATCTGCACGCAAGACTCCCACTCGGCCCCACACAATACCCTCTCTTTCCACTGTTTGTCCCACCCCGAACGGTTTTACTGACGTTGGTTCGTGTTGTAGCTAGCCGTTATCCCCCTTGACACCTGTCTCAGCAACGCCTTCTAATTGGGAGCCGACCGTTCCATTCCTCCAACCTCATGCTGCGTTCAGACTGGCTCAAACGTCCAGAGGTAGATGTGTGTTGCCTCTCTGAAACACGCATTCAAGATTGGAGCTTAGTGGTCCGATTGGCGTCTGCCTCCGATCCAAAAATAACGCTTCCGCTGCGTGTTTCCTGGGGCCCTATCGCATCAGCGTTCGATCGAGGAGACGTTAGTATTACCTTGAGCGCCAGGCCGAAGTTGCTCTATCGGACTGGATCCCGATGGATAGCCGACCATGCGTAGTGAGGCTCAGAGGCTCGAGTAAAATCAAACAGCAGAAACCAAATGAACGCTGCTTATTCGTGGTTTTTGCATACACACCCATAGAATAACCCGGATACAGTTAAAGATGCCGTCTATCACAACCCACCTGAGGTTCTTGTCAAGGTACGTAAGACGAATATCGCGATCCTTACCGGAGAATTAACGCATTGGTTGGCCGTCTGTCACCCGATGAGACCCGCTTTGATGGTTGTTGCGTCCCAAACTAAGTAGGTAAATGATCACACGATGAATTAAGCAGTAAGTTTATTGTCAACAGCAAATATGTAGTCGGTTCACAATGTGGGGGAGGCGCAGGAACAATTAGCATTTAGGAAGGAAGGCAAGCAGGCAGGCCGACTCCGGCTCACACGTCGCACTATATGCGAATGCCATCAAGCCAGCATTCAGTCAGTTAGTCGATTAACCGATCGATCGATCAATCATTTTGGCCACAGGTATGTATGGACACGATTCAGTCGATTGTGGGCCACAACAGCGTATCTCCTTCCACAAACTAGGAATGGGTTAGTCTTTTCGCAGGGAAAAACAACAAATCAACAAATAGTGATGACTCGCGTAGTTAAAACAATGTCTTCCGGATCCGAGCATTTTTCTCAACCTCCGAAGTGCAGTCCCGGAATGATCTCTGTTTCCATAGTCAATTTTGAGTTAAGACGTGTAAGGTTTCGGTGGCAAAATTCTAAGAATCGACTCATAAACCTTCTCACTGTTGTGAAACGAATTTCGAGTCACCAATCTCTTTTTTAATCTGATGAATCCTTCCTGTCTGACGAATTCCGTGCCACCTTGCGGCACGAATATGTGAATCTTGACACGGGCATATTTAGTGATTTTCCTTTGTTTTTTCATTCTGCGACTAGATTGTCAGATTCGACTTTGTTGTGATTTGTTCGCTAACCAATGGCACAAACGAGAATTTTTGTACAATCGGCTGCACGACATGTGTATTATTGAGGAGCAATGAAGGTTCAAAGGATGCAGTACTTGTTCGAGAGCAGTGGGGCTGAACACTACGTGTACCATCAGATGTCTTTGCAGGGGCCTGCGGTGCACTCGGAGAGCATTCGATTTGAGATATGAAACGAGCCATTTGCTGATTCGCAGATTTGCCCCAGTATCTGTCCAATGTGGCGATGACATTCTTCAATGATTTGTCATCCAAATTCATTCGGTCAAAGAGTAGCCTGCCTTTGTTACCGAGGTACAGTCGTAGTAATTTGACGCACAATTCATTTGTAAGTTTTAGTGAAGGATTGGATACACGCAAAACAGTAACATATTCCACGAACGTGGTCCTCCATGTATTCCAAGCCACATCGGATGGTTCGAGAGCGGGCCAAATGTTGTGTCGCAGACTTAGCAGGAAGATGAGCACACAACGAATTAGCCGGTGCGTTTATTGTAAACAGCAACTGTGTAGCCGGTTCACAATCCGGGAGACGCGCAGGAACGATCAGCGTGAAAGAATGCAAGCAGGCAGGCCGACTCCNTCAAGCCAGCAGTCAGTCAGTTAATCGATCAATCAGTTTGGCCACAGGTCTGTGTGAACACAAATTGGTAGCTGTCGTTCCAATAATCTGGATAGATTTCTTAGTATATGCCTAGAACACGGTCTGTTCCTCGTCAGCACGAATTTCAGGCACTCAAAACGTCACCTCTTCGGCACAGATGTGAGCTCAGCTTGATGAAATAGCTATTAATTTAAGACGGATACGATGTGTGAAAGACTGCCGTATTAATTTACCTGCTTAGACACTGACCACGTACCGGTTTGTGCCCAGTTGTCTATGCGATTTGGTGGTAGCAAAAAGATGAGATACAAACAGCTGGACGTCACAAAGCTTTCTGTTCCGGCCGTGCTAGCCGACTACCTAAACGAGTTGGCCCCAAAGCTAACTACTAAATCACTAAGGAGTAGATCAACTTTGGGCAACCATTCAAAAGACAGTGCACTCAGCTAGTTTGTATAGTTGTGGCCTGAATCTTAGAGTTGTGAAACACTGGGTTTCCTCCAACTGGTGCCTGGACAACGTCTACCATACCGTTCGCTATTTTCAGCCATCGGTTTTGACTAGAAGAAAAATGAGTTGGACAGACTATGATGCTTCGTAGAGGGTTGAAGAGATTGTGTCCAGGTCTGGCTTCTTGGCTTCTCTGTTCTCCGGCTGGGGCCTCAAAGATTTAGGTTGTCTTTGGCTGGAGACACTACGCGATATGGAATTACACCGAAGTCAGTGCCGTGAATGCATGCTTTTCTGTGTGCGATTCCAA